CAACATCTTGTAGCGGACAGAAGACGCGACCGCACGGAGTGGAACGACAAAAACGGCGAAACACTCACAAAAGCGGATCGTGGCAATGACCCAGAAGCAGTAGAGCGTATCCCTCGCAAACATAATCGATCTGGATCTGAGAGATTGTAGATGGATTCTAATTCTTGCAGAAGTTTCTAAATGCAGCTTTTCAGTGCGCCATGAAACGGTCGCTCAACTTGAGGACCGCTAGTGGGCAAGACCTTGTTTATTTCCACTCATGATCACGCAGCACGGAAGATTTTTGTGTCCTGACGCTGCAAGGGGAATGTCACAGGACTGGATGAACATCTTTCAGACAGCCCGGGAAGTACTAGATGTTTGCAATGCATAGAACAAGAGGTCTATGGAGAGAAAAAAGTTTGTCACAGTCACTAAGTTGCAGGTTTTGCATTGCAAATTTTTTTTGCATCACAACTTCTTCTTGTATTGCAGAAACACTAGGGAAATCCCTTATGAAGTGTGGCTGTGATGCATTTTTACGCATGACAGACAATTTTGTCTTGCAAAAATGCCCATGGGTGATCGTGGCGAACTTTTTTCTTTTCATAAGGTCCTGCACTTCGACCAGTTTCCAGCTCTTCTCCGGCCCCCGGTGGAAGCGGATCCATTTTACCTGAGCGAGATATGAATTGCAAAAGTGTCTGGGTCTGGAAGAATGGCAGACTTGTCATGCAGGTTTTCCATGACCCATCAGGTCTGGTATGTAGGACATAGCATGACAGATTCAGATTCTGTGAGAGCTCTATCATGCCTATCCTGCATGAGAAACTGCCTCGCGATTAGGTCAAAAGTGGACAGCTTGTGGTAATCATGCAACACAGGTGTCTTTTTACATGATTCAGATTTAGCATGACAAGTTGCATCCTTCCAGACCCAGACACTTTTACATTTGATACGAGAAGCTGCGCCACCAAAGCAGCGGGTTTAACTGGCGCAATATCCAGTGCAAATCATATGTCCAGGTCTGGAAAGTTGGAACTTGTCATGCTAGCTGTACATCCCTGGGTGGAAATCTGTATTGCATACCCAACACAAGTCGCAGCCTCTCTTTTCATGCGACAAAACGTAGTTTCTCGTGCGGACCACTGCACTACGAGAAAGCGTTTTAGCAAGTTGTCATGCTGGGGCGCAATCGGACGTGTTTCCATCATCTACATTGATTTTAGTATCACAAGTTCTCTCCAGAGGACCCAGACATGCTTGCAATTGATACGCAACGCTTTGGTGCCTGTCATCGGATTCAACTTCGCCAATCTGCTCTTCGTCTACCCCTTTGCCGTCAATGGGACCTATCCATTGCAAATATAT